CCCCCAACTTCCTCGGTTTCGACAGTTTTTCTGAAACTCTAAGACGTTCTTTCTCTGTTCACAAACGATTCACCCACCCAAGTCCCACTCTGTTTCAACTTTCTGGTAGCTATATCTTATGATCGGCTGTCTTTTCTTTGTGGTCGGGTCACCTAGCAATGCCTTCCTTCCAAAACCCATAGCATTGAGATTCGTCAGAGGAAGTAATTTCAAATCATATTGAAATGTATACACTATGCTGTTCGGCGCTGAGCTCAAACATACTATAAGTACTGATAGAGTACCAGTAGAATGCTTTAATATTTGTGCATTCTGTTCTCAGAACTGAAGTTCCTCGAGCAAGGTGGATCAGCAGAGTGTTTTAGACTTAATCCTTCTACAAAATTCACTCTCCATTTTGCAAAATTGTTGCAAATAGGCTCTGTAAGGTCATTTGAGCACAACTTGGAGGAGGAGAAACCTTTTGGGCTCGGCAGATTGATAGAGCCATCTACTACAGGTGGTGATAAATGTCGCAAAAAATTGGTCTCACTGAGAGCCGAAGATGGGGACAGCACCAGCTCCGCTTCACATTTCAACTTTTCTTGATTCTCTGCTTAGTTTTGTTCAATTTTCATCGCTTTTTCCTCGCTTTTAACATTGCTTTAGTTTTTCCACAATATTTCAGGCAGAAGAAGAACGGTGCCTTTCAAAAAATGAAAAGGAAGTTTAGCAAATGGAAATTTCCAGGACGCTCAGAATGACACCGCTTGCTTCTAACTTTTGAAAAATATCGTTTGGTTTTTCTTTCTTTTCTTTTCTACAATTGCTTTTTACCCCACCTCATGATTGTAGAAATGACATAGAACAATATTTCACATTCCTTCAATAATATTTTCCTCATTTACATTGGATACACTTATGCGGTTCAGATTGGTACTCTTTTCTGTGTACGTGTTTGTGTTCAATAATCTGAACTTCGATCTGACTTATAAATAACTCCAGTACACTCCGAAACTCCCATAAAATCGCCCTCGCTTCTTTCATCCTCCACCGAGCTCGACTTTCCATGATCCTCGGCTCGATAGTTTAACAGGTTCTGGTAGTTTCAAATTGCGCATGAAGTGAATATTAATGTTCATTTACAATGATGACGTTTTTTCTATTTCTTTTTCTAGTTAATAAAGTTCATAGTTTATCAAAAAGTAATTGATCCGGTCAAAAAATAGGAAAAAAATATTTAAAGCATAGAACAGAAAGTAAATTGAGAGTCAGTAAATTTTGTACTGATGAGCTGATATCTCGGAAAATTCGCCCTCTTCTGGGCCTGCAAGGATCAGGATCGATGCTGCATTATTAGACCACCTATCTGAAAGCCCCGCGAAGGCCTACTTCACTACCTACCTTCTCAATCTAGCTAGTAGAGGTGACAAGGCTGGTTTAGTTAGATGTAACAGATCAGAAGGTCTTAGGAAGCGTGTGGGGGGGGGCATCACGTAATCTGCCGAACAAGCTGGATACGAATAGAGCGAAATCATCGAAACTTCAGCCAGTAATGTTCACCATGACCTTCTTCAGTACTGATAGGGCTTGGGAGAGGAACTGAGGGTGGATTCTCCGATCGAGAACAATTTTGATCTAAGACTAACTTTTTAACCTGAAAAATAACAGACCTCTAGCCAATTCAAGCACTCTCGTGAGATGGCTCACCTTTTTCAGCCTTTTGGGGTAGGAAACTAAGAAAGGGATTGCGGCAGCAAAAAGAATAACAGAGGAAAAAAGAATGAGAGAAAAAATGCCTCATCACTCGGCGATCACCTGACTGTGTGTGGGTCCTAAAACTAATATTCGCAATCTACATTGACTCGACACTCGTCTAACGTGCCATCGATCGAGAGGCGGGAAAGCGAATCAAGACAGCAACAGGGCTTCCACTATGCCCTGACCGTCGAGATTATGGGAGCGAGAGGGACCCTTGTACCACCCATGGTTGCCACAGTGTATTCCTAAGGGAAGAACTCAGTAACCATTTTTATCGTGAACTGTGCCTCTAAGCGTACCAAGAGGTACCCACAGAAAACATCTAGCAAATGTTCTGTTCGTGATCCTACCCCAATCGATCCGCATTCCTCCCCATCTGATCCAAACTCACGAATCCCATCTTCTTAGTTGAACGAGTTTATGGTCTACCATAACTCAAAATTCAGAAATCTTCAGAATGAAGATGGAATTTTTGAGTTTTTTTTGACCGTTAAATTAATTTAGGAACGATTCTTGACCATTCTTCTCTGAAGCATTCGATTAGCTCTAAGGAGCCAAAACAACAATTCTATTGGAATATGTACAGATTCATTTCAGAAAAAATGTAATCTCTGAGCACGACAAGCACAAATTTATAGCACAGATACAGATATCACAGTAAATTAATGGCAATCGGTTAGCTTCCCTTAGGTTTCCTGAACATCGACAGATCGTCATCTTCTTCATCGTCGTCGAATAGGCCTTTTGCGAATTGCGATTTCGTGGTCTTCTGTGTGGGAGCTCCTTTACTGCTCACGGAGACTTTGGGAGAACTATCGGAGACAGGTTTCGCACGAACAGATGAGTCTCCTTTTGAGGCAGCGGAGGTTACTGAAGTCTTGGCTTCCACACGTTGGTTGGTAATGATCGGTTCTAGGAAAAAATCATTCAAAATCATTCAAAAAGTATCTTAAAATCAAAAACTGCTCCAGGTACATGTACCATACCGTTTTCTTCATCACTTTCTGAGTCAAAAAATGAACGAGCCGCTTTGGGTATATTCGGTCGAGGTGCAGCGCTGTAAATCAACAACATCGAAAAAATATGCTTCAGAAAAAAGGATCAACCAAAAAACAAAGGGGCAGACTGGTTCATTGACAAATGCCCCGAATTGGAACATATGATTCCCGTCAACCTCGGGGTAAAAGTAAAGGAAGGCAGAATGTATTTCCAGTCAAAATGAAAAACTCCGCCAAGACAAATATGGTTGGATAAGGAACCAAACGGGGAATCGAATCGGAAAAAAAGAGAACGATCGAACGGTCGAATGCTCCCAGGAGATGAAAATTTTTTGATTTTTGATTTTTTGAAAAAAAAAACACGTACGTGGATTTCGTGGTTACATCTTCACGTGGCTTCGGTGGCTCGCTTATCTGATCGGCAGGTTTGGTGCTAGCTGTACTTTCAACTTTTCGTTCGACACTTGGCACTTTGTCAGTTTCTTTCTTGACAGGCACTTCAGTACGACTATTTGACGGAACAGCCACAGAAGCACTGACGGGTGCTTTTTCTGGTACCTTGGCATCGGTTCCAGTTGTACTTGGCTTTGAACGTGATGGTGGCCGGCGAGTGGGACCTCGAGCACGTGTCTGGAAAGTAACTAATTCAGAGAAGCTATTACAGTATCCACCTGTATAAGGGTACCTTGGAAACCGATGGAAGTGGCCACGTTGGCGGAACATCTGGATCCTCTTTTAGGCTGCCTTTCAGCTCTGGCGCTTTGGTGACCGACTTCGCAACCGGCGCTGGAGGGGGCTAAAAAAGAAGGTAACCTTATTTCTAACTGGTTAGAATGAATTAAATATTGAGATTATTGAAAACGGTATCTCATTCATCACAAATTGTTCAAGAAATCTACATGATCCTGGAGCGACTCCAAGCTAGGCATACTGAAAGCCTATCTCGAATAATCCATCGCGCACACAGGTTATACTCCGCGCGCAGTAATCGCCGATATTCAGCGACATTTGATAAAGGCAATCGAAACAGAAATTTGCTTGACTCTTCCACTTAATAACCTTCACTTCATTTAAAGAGAATAATCGATGAGCACTTACCAGCGTTGGTCCTTTTGTCAACTTTTCAGCAAGCTTTTTAGCGAAGTCGGTAGTTTCGAGTTTTTTAGGGACCTGTATCTTCTTCATGGTATCCTGGAAAAATGAGGAGTAAAAAGTAAAAATAGCATAGAAAAACTCGTGCAAAGCTGAAATTAGTCGTTCATTTTCAAGAATAAAGAATTCACAAGGCAATTGGACCTAACAAAAGTCACCCTACGTGAAAATACCACTGCTATTGATACTAGTAATCAAATTTTTAACTCAACGTTAACTGAATACCTTCAGAATGAGGAAAACAGAAGATTTTCGAAAGTCTGCGAAACACTGAAACCTCGGACAAAATATTCGGATGTTTTTCTGTCCGTTGCCGCGACTTTACACTGACATCATCACAGCATATGAGATGCAATAAACAGCATTCTTCAGAGGAGGATGCACTACTTGGCTAGCACTGATCCATGACAACAATTGGCCTTTCTGATGGGTCCCGCAGAGGAAAATAAAAACAAAATAAACAAAAAATAAACACCCGCACTCAACGAAATCTCGTTACAGAGTCCTTTGTCTCTCTCCGTTACCCATCTTTTACACTAATCACTCCCACATATCCCGCAAATCTCGGAAGATGGCAGTTATGTAGTAATTAAATTGAGCCTCCCATCGTCCGCAGAAGCTGGTCGGACGAGCTTTATCTCAAATTAATTACTACTTATTGCACACCACTATTCCTACCCACTGATTTCTAAATTCATGAGGATATTTAAGGAAGAATTTAAAATTTTTCCGTTTCACCACGAGAGGATACAAAGCTACATATCAATGAGGAGAGCTAAGATGTGCATACTGCTCTCTGAGAGTGCGTCCTCAAAGGTGCAACTCCGCCTCCTATTCTTTTTCCTATGCCCATTTGAAAAAAAAAACTTTTTAGAACGCAATTCCACTTATTATGAGATCACAGTTCTTCGAAACAGCTGGGACACTCATTCAATTTGATTAAATCTTGAAAATTCCAATTCGAAAGCCGAAATCTGCCTCAACTTCAGCTCAGTCTAAAACTTAGTAAGTTTGCTAATAGTAAGCGAGAATTTCAATTCTTCCCATCATCCAAATATACTTCAAAAGATTTTCAACCGATTTTTCTTGCAAATTCACAAGCTCCAAGAACCATTAGTAAAGTAACAAGTAAAGCTTAGTTCACGGCGTAACAGCATCCACCAGCTTGCCTACTACGTTGGCAACCAAGTGATTGCGTATATTTAAGGGAGATACACTTACGCTTTTTACAATAAAAAAAGAAATACTCATTCAGTCATACATTGACCATTACTTTGTCTGTACATAAACCTTGAAAAAAAAGTGGTTACTTTACGTTGAAGTTGATTTATTTTACCCGATCAATACAGTAAAGCAAATCGACTGTTCAAAGTAGTGAATTCCGAATTCAGGCACTTACCTCATCTTTCTTAGCAGTGGTGGTGGGCAAAGTCTTCCGTGGATCAAGAAATAATGCATCATCATCACTATCGGAATCAAAAATGCTCGCATACTTTTTCGTTATCTATAACAATCAGAAGCAATAACTTGTGGTAAACAGCGGTGGGCATAAATATTTTATGCTTTCACATCAGAAATGAAAATAAAACAGGAACATTCCTCTAAAGCCATAACACTGAATTAAAACATACGCTTTGAGCAGTTATTCCATGACTTGCGGGTTTCCCTCCGCCACTATCTGCCACTTTTCTCTCCTGGTGGTCTTTCTCCTTGTACTTTTCTTCCGCAACAGGTTGACTCTTCACTTCAGTACGCTTTTGCTCAGAAGGGGGTTCTAAATGAAAGACTTTCTGAAAACTGAAAAATGAGAAGAAAAGTTGAAGGTCTCAGTGAAAATTCACGTCATATTGCACTTCATGGCAAGCAGTAAAGTTGTACAATAAGTAAACCAACTGTAGTCGACTCACCTGTCTTGCCCAAACTCGACGTTGAAATATCTGACTTGTCTTCTTCTTTTTTGTTCTGAAATGGTCATTCAAAATCTAGGAGCAGTGAGGACAAACAGCAGGCTAACTTACAGCTTCTGTCTTGGGAGTAACGTTGGCACTGACGTTTGGAGCACCGTAAGATTTCCCAGTCAAGGGAGCACTCCTGTAAGGAATGTTAGAGTTAGAAAAGTGATTTTCTCAAACTATTGACATACATTCGAATAAATACCAAGAACTCACGTGACGCGGTCGTCTTTTTTCGGTATGACTCCTCGGATGTCGGACGTGTCATCTTTTTTGTGTACTACTCCTCGGATATCGGACGTGTCGTCTTTTTTGTGGATGACACCGCGGATGTCCAACACCTTTTCGATGGGACGAGATAGATCTTCCACTGGCTTCACATTATTGTCTACTGTAAGAAAACTACTTTCTTAAATTTCATAGCTCCAGATGGTTTAAATTTACAGTAGAGAACGACACTTTATCGGCAGAGATCCATCGGTATGTTTTTAATGCCCTCCCAAAAAATAAAAACAAAAATAAAAAAGTAAGCGTTCTTTCACGGAGAAATAAATCGGCTTCTGATGGTAACCTAATTGTTAAAATAACAACTTCATCTCACCAGTAACTTCACTACTGCTACTGCTTTCAGATTTTGGAACAGGAACGTAAGTAGGCGGTCTAGAAATATGCCAATATAGAAGCCTAATGGCAAAAGTACAAGTTAGAAGTTACGTGAACATACCGTAAAACGGGTGAGATCTTCGCAGGAATAATAGGAGGCGGTAATATCTCAGAGCTTGGGTTCAGACTAGGAGGCTCCAACGTTGGCTGCTCGAACGAATGCGGCCTTTGTCCAGAGCTTTCTTCACTGGCTGATGTAGAGGCTTTACGATAACGAGATGGAAGCGGTTCGGACGTTGACGAGGATGGGTTAGCCAGTCTTTCTGATACCGGCTTTTCGGTAGTCGGCTTGTGAGATAGGAGCGAATCCTTGAAGCTCTGTGACCCGATAATAGGTCGGTTTGAACACAGATCGGTGATCTGGAAAAAGAATTGAAGCTCGCTCACCCGAATTAGGCAAAGTTCTGTAGGGAATATTAAACATGAAGAAACTCTTCATCATGACAGAAATGAAGAAAAATATCGAGAAGAAGTGAAAATGATCTCCTTGTCCAGGAATTTTAAGAGCTTCTGAGTGCACGAGCCCGAGGTAAGAACATGAGGTGGAGCTTTACCGATGGGTATGGGTCAGGAAGTAGCCGTCGCATACCTAACTAGGTAGTATCCCCCTCCATACAAGTGTTACTTGAATTATCTCAGATTATTGCTCACAGCCTCCGATTCGATGAACCTGTGGGAAGAATCAGATATCCAATCCGGATGGTTCCACCAAGTGTGTTCAAGTGATGATTTTTCAGCCCTCCCACACATTGATAAACATCTTTTTTCTCTTATGAATCCTCTCTTTATCCATCATCGATGACACAGACTGGGAATAATGAATCAACCAGAAATGAGTGTAAATATTAATTATAAAAACCTATGAGTAATTCGATAAGCGAGCAAAACATGAAGCCCACACGCGAGAAAACTGATGAGGCCATAAAGCATTTAATCAATTCCTATTTACAGCACTGTAACGGATACTGATAAATCTCCCAACTTCGCAAGCCACGTTCAACTTCCACTACTACATAAATAAATATAAGTGTTCATAATTGATAAGCACCCATATAAATATAGTCCACTAAANGGAATGCGTACGTTTTGTGCACGGTTCGTAGCGGAAATTCCCTGACGAATTGCAGCACTGAGTGTAGCAATAGTATCGGCCCGGCCATCACCCGAATTACTCTACAAAACAGCAATTCTGACCGAGAAGAGCGAGAAAAATCCGAGCAAAAATAAAAAACAAAACTCACTACAACTTCCTCAGTCGGAGGGAACCCTGAGGTAGCATCCTCAGCCAAATGCTGTTGCAAAAACCTCGAGTTAGCAGCATGAATAATAGACCCATTTAAATGTCCAACACCGGAGTTCAACAGCGCTGCCAGTTGATTTATTTTATTCAATTCGCCTTCGAGCTTCTCTACATGATGAGTGTAGTAGTCACGACATCCTTCCAAAATATGACATAGCTAAATGTAACAAGAGGTTTAGAACGGATCGAAATTCATACCGTAATTCCATTGCCAATACACACGACTACTGGTCGTAAAATGTCGTCAAGCATAAAAATTGAATATTATCAAATTTCGCTCTTTCAAAGAGAAAGGATGTAAAAATCTTACAAAGTGAAAACGCCGAGTATCAACAATCGGAGAAGACCACTGTGTCATTAGATTCGAGACATGAACAACAAATGAACAAGCTTGGTTTGAATAAGATTTGGATTGCGGGCCAAAACCTCCAGTAATGTAGATGGAGTTGAAGAACTGCTCCATTTTTTCGTTGTAATTCTGACTGCAAGGTTCGCTACTGCTCGATTGCTGGGCCCAAATGGTTAATACAAATACAAATATTTACTAGTAGACCGCTGACCATTGCCTACCCAACCGCTTCAAGGAAAAGTTGCTAGAGCACCACTTGTGTCTTCTACCACTTTGAAAGAATTGTGAAGTACTCACCGCACTGTCGTCCCTCAAAGACCATTCGGACTCATAGCATTTAATCTGCAACCCCTCGATCTCGTCGTCCGTCAACTTCTTGGCGACCATGCAGCCAACAATCAGCTATCGTTAGCAGGAAAACAGATAACGTGCACGGTGAGGTCCCATATGGAACTCCTTCGACGATATTCTGGGCGTTAACGCACGACACGCTGCGCGCGTTTCTCGATCGGGCCGCGGTTGCAGCTGCATCGGATTGTCGAAGACGTGCCTACGGAATGGTTTGAATAATTTAACCAGTAAGCTAAGAGAGTAATAGTATTGTATGGGTGGACTGGCAGCGCTTACGCATTTCGAATACTATGAAATAGGTCTTTCAGTGAGACTCTCTTCAGGGGATCTTATATGGGAGGTCCCTATCGGCTTCTCACTATTTGCCAACTTCTATAAATTTGTACTAAGCAGTATCATATACTAAGCAGTATCAAGTTTTAATGACCTGACCAGTTCAATAAATATAAATAGGTTTGTTCAGTTCCAACGGCTTCACAACAAGCCACCCCTGAATCACTACGTGATACCTGGTGGTCTTAATTTAGTAATGTAAACGGGGCGTCCCTCTATGTACACAGCCGTGCTGGCTACGGGGAAATATGCACCCTCCAATCTTTGATACTGGTATTCAATTGGTAAAAGGTGTTTTTTTCCAGAAACGAGGCCTAATTATCCGATACGGTTTCCATACTATTAGCTGCAATTTTCCTGGATCCTGGATTGTTTTTTCAAATGAAGATTTTGTTTGACGCCATCGAAGTCTTTTTGATTTGCTGAGGAAAGAGATAGGTTGTTCGGCCAATATAGGAGGATTGGTAGGCGGAAAAGTAAGGAGGAAAAAGAAGAAGGAGGATATCGATGATAAGAAAGGAAGAACAAGATAACAGCTGTGTACAAGATATCTCATAGATAAGATATAAGGAGTGCAAAGAGTTCTTATTCCTGCCTTTTGAACCCTCTATCCAACTGATCTCAAACCGGCCCTTGAACGGTTCTTGGCTGATGGTCCACTGATCCGCTCCTTGAGCCCTGAGCCCTGATCTGGCCATCTGGTACGCGTGGCCGACTATTCCTGATGGCTTCTCCCATCTTTCTCGGCCAAATCTGCTGCTCACTACTGCCAATTATTGCCCAATCCCGAGAACACCATCAAATTGAATTATGAGATTCGCCCACGGAATTGGTAAGAGTATCCGCACGGCCTAGCAAAAGGCTCCCTTCCTAGAGGCTTCCCAAAACCACTACCAAACTTCCCCTACCTTTGACCCATCCAGAAATGGGTTGCGATTTTTGTGAGCCAACTTGGCCCACAGTCAACCCAGTTAGTCCTCTGGGAACTCTAGCAAACCCCTATCAGCCCTTCCAGCCGTTGAGTTGTCGTGGAACCCATGTGAGCCCATTCTCTGCTGGAAGATCCAGGTCATCAAACCGGGATCTGAGTTTTTTTTAGAGTATGGGCCAATATAGCTGTGTATTGCCTTGTATTTACCACTCAAATCCTAAAAATTGAAACCTTCCACTGTGATTCGCCTCGTTCTAAAGTTCCAATACAGGAACAACTTTAAACTGGCCTATAATGTACTTTTCTGACCAATTTGGTCGGGTAAATTGGCATTTTTGACTGAATATCACTAAACATCAGAAATCTGGGGGGAGGGGGGGGGGGGNAACAGTAGGTTGTGGAGGCCTTAGGAAGCCCATCGCTATCAAAATCACAGGAATGTTGAAATCAAGATAACAGACGCCATTCTGGCACAGAAGCATGACGTCAAGTCGTGGAGAACATCAAAGACCTTTCGAATATCGTTTGGAGACCACAAAATGAACAAGGAAAAAAAGAAAAGAAGAAATGAAAAGGAATGAAAGAAAGGAAAATTTGGGATAAATTGTCCTTTTCATCGCCCTGTTTTGTTTTGAACATGTGAACTTAATCGAAGTTATCCTACGTTGCCGTATGGGACCATGGTAGGGCAGGTAAGCACATTATGCGGTTCGATCTCATTTTGGGATGCGCCACCATTATTTTGCCGTTCAAAATCATACCGGCGTTTGAATGAATGTTTGTTCTTTACAGTGAAATGCAAAAGCTCGTTTATAAACATAGTCTTGCTTTTATCTCCCGAACAGGTCTGGTGGCGATCCGGTGACCCCGAAGAGACGGAAGCCCTGGTCGGCCTGAGCGGATATCGATCCGAGTCCGGATCCTCGGACTATACTGACCGGCCTTGGAGGCTCCACTGGTGCTATCCCACTCGTTCGCTTGACATGGACAAGATCTGGGAAGGTTATCGGATCTTGGATTGTTCAAGGCCAATATCTAACTGGGGTCAATCTTGTACAAACACATTTTGATCATGAGTCAAGTGGACGGGAAAATTCTGGGATGGTAGGGCTGCCGATCAGTTAGAGCTCCTGTCAAAGATCTGACCCTTATTCTTTTTGAATCAGACTTCTGATAAATGGCTTTTGTGAAAAACTTCTGCCAGTGACTCCAGACTCAGCTTCTGGGCAGAACTGATAAAACGAGATAAAAAAAAACTCTCAGAACGAGCCATTAACTCTCTGTGAGGTCTCATCGTAAGAGGAATTCAAACACGTTACATTCAAAAGGATTTTTGGCCATATTCACCGCACGGAAATGTGCAAAAATGCAGTTCTCCATATGCCTTCTACTTTTGGACAGGCACATTTTGAGACGATGAGCTTCGTTTATACTTTACAGTAGCTATTTCCCGGTAATGCCCCAGTTCTGTAGGCAATACTTTCTGTTCTCGAAAATATGAAAAGTACTATCAATTCCGTTGCCTGTATTACGTCGATAAACTCATATTTACATAACTGTTGGAACTAAAAACTGAAAGGCAATTGCTACTCTCCAGCTGCACAGCGGCAGAGGATTTTGTCTATAAAAAAGGGGCATTAATCAATCGACGCTCAGCTGCTCCGCTGTGTTCTGTACCGAAATCTAGCTCGATCCTGAAATTAATTCTAGGATGAGCCATGTTGTTCAATAAGCCACCCATCTGTTAGGCTTTGATGGTTGATCAAGAAATGGCAAACACGTCTTTGATGAATCTTATTAACTGGTATAGCTAATTGTTCTCCTTCCCCTCATCACAATGCCTATAACAACGAACGAGGGATGGGGATGCACTTTGGGGCGGTGCGCGGTGGTGCCACCCATCCACCGCATCCCCCCTTCATGTCGTTTGCGCCTTTGCCCTCGACGCTATTCACATTCCTATCCTTAGTTCTTTTCCCATGTACATCCATCCATCAAATCGTACTCTACCAATTCATCATGACTAAATCACTTGTACAGTACTACTGTTACGTGTCCGCTCCGTGACATTCTGCTACAACAATTCCCCCGCTGGTTCTTCGTCATACACTGCTCTGTGGTTTGTTTTTATTTGTATTCCGATGACTAGTCAGTACTTATTGATTGGCCTATGGTAAGTGATTAGTGTTACGCAACAGCAGCAGCATTGTGCTGAACCTGCGCTCTGCTCTGCGCTGCCCCCGTCGGTCTTCGTTCCGTATCGACTAATCGCGCGATCGATACGAAGATGTTGCAACAACAGCAGCAGCAGCGGCGGCGGCGGCGGCGTCGGCTGCTGTGATGGCCTCGCGACTCTACGGAATTGCGTTCCCATCGCGCGTCGCGTAGCGCGACGCGACCGACGCGCGCAGTCATAGCGCTAGCTAACAGCGGTAGTCAGTGCTCTGTCCTTGTGTTGTAGTCATAACGTAAAAGTGAAGAAGGGAGAGATACGCACCCAGGCGATATTGCGTTGAGATGGGAGAGGGGAGCGAGCAAGTGGGGGGATTGGTTGGGGAGAGGGGAGGGGGGCGATCGCGGGGTGTGGTGCACACAGGGAGGGGGCCACTCATTTGTTCGATAATTGTTTAACCGTCCCGCGTCTCGTGGTCAGGTGTACTCTCTCGCTTCCGATCCGAAAGGACAGTGGAAGAGAACGGCGTGCTTTACGACCCAGACATGCAGATGTTCGGCGAGATAGCATGGCGCCCCGAGGAGTCGCAGATTTTGTGGGCGGGGCCAAATGTGTATGTATGTGAGCGCGCGTGTGTGTCTGTGTGTATGTATGTATGTTTGCTGCTGACCGGCGGTCATTGTGCCTTCCGTCGTTGCCCTCGTCATGTACGTGTATCGGGCGCTCTGTTGCCGTCAACCCGTAGATCCGAACTTGTGTTCGATATTGTGATACACAGGCTCGGCTACAGGTGGACGGACGAGTGTGACTGACTGTCTAAGACGTCGTACCCCCCGATATTCTTCTCCCTTCAACTGATTCAATCTGGTTGTCGTGATGCTGCGCCCTTCAAGCTGATCCAGTTTCTGCTCCTGCTCATCATCTTCTATCCGATATTCAGTCCGTCCGTCTGGGGTTGCCGGAAATACCGCTGAGGTAGTAGGTTGTATAGTTCAGAGTGGTATCATCAGGTGAAACTATTACAACTTGCTAGCTTGCCGGTTGAGGCGACCATAGGTACAGCTTTCTTCACCGACTTGTAATCGGTGGTATTCTACTTGATGTTATAAAATATTCATGTAATGTAAGTGGTGAGAATGTCACTAATAAAGTATTTTATTTGCATTGAATAGCATCGATTATTGATTACACGGTCTTATAGGCTTTGTCGACTCACAGTGTAAACTGCTGACGAAATAAACTTCAGATCAGCGTAGGAACTGAACGAGTGAGTCAGTCGGTTAGTAAACGATCTTACTCGGGACATTACTAGCTTATTTCATAAGTTTTAGTCTTCTATAGAAGTATTGTGAGCACCACAGTGTTTAAACAGCGG